ATAACATCCTTCATAATGCCCGTGTAATGCATAATGTTGTTTTTTTGTTTTTGGTTTTCTTTCTTGGGGGGGTTACGTGTCACTCTTCAGATGTCACTGGATTCGTGTTATCTTTAAGGTATTCTTAAGATGTTTGAGTGATTTAGGGTAGTATGATGATGTCTTTTGGGAATTATATATATATATATATATGTATGTATTTCATATATAGTCCACATTCACAAGTTATTCACAAATCATTATTTCACAAAGAACTGCATCATATTCATGATCATGTTTGAATTTGTATTGTAGTCGATTTGTGAATAAATTGAACTGACAGTGTTACATTTCCTGTTTGTTCTTTATGTGAAATCGTTTCTTCATCGCTCATGTTTGAATCTTAGTTTCACTTCTTCCAAGTGGAGCAAAAACAGACTACAGTTATATTCGAACTCCACTAGATGCTCCCCTAATGCCTTTACATCCCGTGACATTAATGCCTTTGCAAGAATCTGTAATTCAGCAATATTTTCTTACCTGAATTTGTTCATAATCTACAAACAGCTTTACAACTGTCTCTGACCACATGCGCACAATATGATGAAATCCAGTCTGTCTTAAATGTAAACACCTGAAAAAGTTTTTATGTTGTCTGTCAGTGTAACAACTATCATAACATAATAAATATTTTTATTCTGTTTTTTTTTTTTTTTTAAGTTACTCAGATGTAAAACAAAGTCAGGAAACCCAGAGGGAGTCATCTGATTGTTGGGCTTCTCTCTGTATTATTGTAGCTCTTTGAGGTGACTTTTGTGATTTAGCACTATATTACAGTTTTTTACAGACGCTAGGACACATTTCTCAATACTTAGGTCACTTTTGCAAAACTTCTCACACAGTGAGCACAACAGAAGTCTATGTGGGCTAAACTGAGGACCAGTTATCATTGTTTTGGCACAAAATGCATTCAATGACTACATCTCTCAAATTTCATGAATTATCTTCTCACTCAGACACAACAACTGCCAAAAACCTTTGTACGGACAGGACATTTTGCATGTGCTTACATACTGTTTTCAAAACTGTTAAACTTATGGCCAAAACAATAACACAATGCAAAACTTAAAAAGACAGCAAAATCCAACAGCAATATTTTATTGAAACATATTTTAAATCTAAAAATGCAGTTTAACCAGCCACAGCTGATTCTCATTGTAGATGAACATCTACACAGGTGTTACTCCTTCAATTTTTCAACTCCTTCAATTCTGGCATGCCAGAAGATTCTTTCCTAGGTGTATTGCCCTAGATGACATAAGATGTGATGTGGATGAGAACCTGTGGCCAAATGGAGAAGACCGAGTAGATTAGCATTACTATTGTATGTGTATCAGTGGATGGTGTGTATACAAATTCTTGTATTTTGGGATTACTTAGTGCAAAAAAATAAAAATACATAAACAAATATTAACGAATTCTGCATGATGTCTGATTCATTCCAGTAACATATATTGAAATTATAAACAGAGATGTGTCCTTGTTTTACACAAGAAAACACTGTGTAATGCTACATGTTGTTAGTGTTTTTTAGGTCATTGTTTTGTGGGTGACAAAGTGTGTTTGTCGGCTGTCAACCTTTGCTAGTGTTCTGGAAGAATGAGTTTATTTGAGACCTGAATGAAGTGTTTTGGTAGTTGTAGTGCATTTTGAATGTGAAATGAACTGCTTTGCCAAGCTGACGGTCAGTTAGGAGAATTGTGTGAAGAGTTTTGCAAAAGTGACCTAAGTATTGAGAAATGTGTCCTAGCGGCTGTAAAAAACTGTAATTGAAATTAACTGAATTGAATGTGTGATGTCACTTTATTTGTAAAAACCTCAGCCAGACAATGGCTAAGCTTTCAGACATTTTCACATGTCTTTTAGTTACGTTCAGCTTTAAGACTTCATATGAAACATCTTCTCCTTAATAATTGTCACAGCTGTGTTTACCCTGCACTCCCATAGTGGTGTCGTAAAAAATCAGCCTGCTAATCAATCAAATCAATCTACTCGCGCCTCGTCCTCTTGGGGGCGCTCTCAGCTCGTGGGCTCACCTCCTCACTGAGTTCACCAGTCACTTTGTAGGAAGTGTAAAGTCCTTCAGTGGACATTAGAGCCGTCTGTTAGTGTGCAAACTGCACAGGTAAAATATATAAAATGAAAAGGTGAACATGGTGTTGATTTGCAGCTGTGACTGACTGAAGCTTTCATCTCAGGAACCACAGCGAGGCGTAGCAGGTAAAACAGCTATAAGGATGGAGGTGTTAAACAGGTATGCAAAAAAAATCAAAACAAAAAAGAAAATAGTTTAGTTCAACTAAACACTGATAATCCCACTTTGACTCAGCTAAAATCAAGTCCTTTAAGTCACAAACCACTTCAAGAACCAGTTTGAAGCTCAGATCATCCCTGGTTTGTTGAACATTACTTCACTCCGGCAGCTCTGAAGGCTGGTAATAGCAAGATACAACTGCTGAAGCAGCCAGAGGTCTTTGTGCTGTTCTGGTAGATGTGCCGATCTGCTTCTCCTACATGATTTGGTCCATTGGCTTATATGTTATTGTAATTTTCCACATGTAGCTTTTGCAATGATGAACCAAAGATAACAGACCTGCAAAATGTCAGATGCTAAAGTTTTAATCTTAAGGACAGGTTGTTTTTTTTTCCCCACAGACATGTAGTGACAAACGCAAGAATCACAATAGAGTAGGCTATAACAGAATAAAGTCTGCACACATATTATACTCTTGAGTGATGTCCTATTCTTAATATATTTCATTTAATATGATGTCAGCCGACCCTTTTCCTTTTATAACAAACCCCCGGCACCCTGGAGCTGTGACGTCACCTCTGAATGGGTTTTAGATAGTTAAGCTAGTGCGTCACGCTCATAGCGTCTTTATATTTCTGTTACTGTACAGACAGTCGGAAACCGCTCAGGATGATGCCAGCTAAGCCAACGCGATTTCAGTTTTGTTAGCTAATAAGTGAAATGCGACCAATAAACAGGAGCAGCTACACTGTATACGAGTTTGTTTGTTTTTTCTCACATTAATATTAGCGTTTATTCTGAAGAGTAAACCTCTTCCACCCAACTTAAGGCCGTTAATCTGTGGGTCGGACAAACAGTTTATTGGGAAATGAAAGTTACACCACCTGATAAACTATGATACGCAACCAAATTTGCGCTTAGTAACTAATTCTGTTTTACCAGTATTAAGGCACATAGATGAGTTTGGCCTGTAAAGAGGCTCGTGCACCTCTCAAATGGTTGAAATCGTGACAGAGAGCATCTTTAGCATAGTTATCAGCAGCTCTAAGATAAGAGAAGGCCTTACTCCAGAGCATGGACACTGCAATCGTCAATTCATGAACTAAACTATATGGAAACTTTGCTAACTTGTCATTTTTGACCGGAAAATAAAATATTTTTCATTTAATTTGAAGCTATAATTGAACTCATGGAAATTTTTGTTTCCTATTTGCACATTAATTTCTATTTCCTAATATTCTGATTTACTTCATTTTCATGCAACAAAGTGTGACAAAGGTGACACAGGTGGGAAAACTTGAGTAGGTGAGGTGCTGGAGAAGCTTCCTGCCCACAGGAAGTGCAGATTAAATAATCGTTGACTAATTGAAGAGAAAAAAAAATTAGGCAGATTAGTTGACTATAAAAATAATCGTTAGTTACAGCGCTAGTGTTCTGTTGGGTTGGGGTCAGGACTTTGTGCAGGCCAGTCAGATTCCTCCACACCAAATGTGTCTTTATGGACCTTTCTTTGGTGAACTGGTTTGCAGTCTTGTTGGAACAGGAAAGGGCCATCCCCAAACTGTTTCCAGAAACTCTTGAAAAACAACCCCACACCATAATCCCCCCTCCAAATAAGTTTGCATTCAGTGCAATGCAGTCAAACAAGTACCGTTCCCCTGGCAACTGCCAAACCCAGACTTGCCTATTGGCTTACCAGACAGAGAAGTGTGATTCATCACTGCAGAGAACACGTCTCCACTGAGTCCAGTGACGGCGTGCTTTACACCACTGCATTGACGCCTTGCATTGCGCCTGGTGGTGTAAGGCTTGGATGCAGCTGCTCAGCCTGTGATTTTATGTGGCCTACCACTTCCTGGCTGAGTTGCTGTTGTTCCCAGTCGCTTCCCCTTTGTTGTAATACCAGCTGACTGTGGAATATTTAGTAGCCAGGAAATTTCACGACTGACTTATTGCACAGGTGGCATCCTGTCACGGTACCATGCTGGAATTCACGAGCTCCTGAAAACGACCAATTCTTTCACCATTCTTTGTAGAAGCAGTGTTCACGACTAGGTGCTCGATTTTATACACCTGTGGTCATGGAAGCGATTGGAACAACTGAATTAATTCATTTGGATGGGTGAGCGAACACCGTGGACAGCACGGCGTAGCTTGATTGCGTGAGGTTTAAAGTTCTCCTGAATATTTTATGCATTTCGTTTGATTTAATTGATCCTATGAATTGAAATTCCAGCCATCAATCTTTATCTGAATCAATTTTTTCTAAACTTAAAACATTTGCACTTTATCAATAAGTAGACAGCAAATTAAAAAGTTATCCAGACAGCATGCTGTTCACGCCTCTGTCCAGATAAGAGCTCATTTTATCTGTTGGGAGATCCTTTACCTGTGGAAAGGATGAATCACAGGTTTCCCACTATGTGCATGTAACGCTGTGCAAGTGGGTGGGTGGCATTCCTTGTGATGAACTGATTAGCTACACAGATGGGCGCGTCCGACTGGGAGAATCCGAGTTTGACTAATTACAGGAAAACTGTTAACTTCTGTGAGTCACACAGAGGCCGACTGAACTCATATTGTTAAAATGAAGAAGGTTTCATTAAACAACAAGAAAAAAACTATTTTTTTTATTTTTTCATTTATTATTTACACCACATTTTCACATTTCTGACA